ATGTGTCCAATCACACTTGGCCAAGAAAGAATTCTATTCTATTCTATTCTATTCTATTCTATTCTATTCTATTCTATTCTATTCTACTCTACTCTACTCTACTCTACTCTACTCTACTCTACTCTACTCTACTCTATTCTTTCTAGTCTAGTCCATCTACCTACCTACCTACCTACCTACCTACCTATCATCTCTCTCTCTCTCTTTCTCTCTGATTTGATTGCTTATTGTACCCTATGACTATCATTAAGTGTTGTACCTGATGATTCTGGACTCTTGACGAATGTATCTTTTCTTTTATGGACACTGAGAGCATTTGCACCAAGACAAATTCCTTGTGTGTCCAATCACACTTGGCCAATAAAGAATTCTATTCTATTCAACTTCCTGGGAGAGAAAGAGGGTTCAGATAATTTCTTACCCAAACTGATTCAGCTCAAACAAAGTTCAATGTTTAATTAATTCAGTGTCCAATTCTGTTTATTCATTTGCAGACTGCTTTAGACCGAGAAGGGTAGTGCAAAAATATGAATATTATAATTGGTAGAAATAGGAAAATTGGTGAAGATCAACAACGCTGGCTAAATGTCCAGGAAGACCTGTTCTTCATCCGCTAGGGGGCATAAGATGTCAACAATAAGATTGCATAAAACCATTTTGGACGTCGGAAAGTCGAGTCTTTCTCTTCCTCCCTCTCTTTAAAATAAAATCCAACTTTCAATTTTCATTACCCTTTTTGGGGAGAAAAAAATAACCTTCCCCACAATTAGTGTCTGCTTTGAACCAAGCCCCAAACTTGCTTTCAAAATTCAAAGACCGTTCTCTCTCTTTTTTTTATTTTTTTTTTATTTTTTTAATCTTTTTAAAACATCTCATTAGGTGAACAATGTGTTTCCAGGTTTTCACATTTCCATATAAAGGTGACCATAATTACATACCAGCGTTCGTATCCAAATTTATATCATATTATTACTTATTACCCTTTTCTTTAAATGCTTGCATACATTATTTAACAATATTATCGATATTCTTATTCAATTTCTATATTCATTACTCTTATTTTATATAATCTTATTTCATATTATAGCTTATTTCATTTCTTTAAATATTCTCCTGTCTTATTTAACAATGTTATCCATATTCTTATTCAATTTCTATAATAATTATACACATATTCTTACATCTGCCACATTTGCAATTTTTTCCACGTACAATTATTCCATTCAAAGGTTTTTCCCCCTTTTATTCCCAATACGAGTTTGCCACACCTTTACTTATACATTTACTCCCCATTTACTCCCTTTAACCCATTATAAAAATGTATAAACAATACAGCCATAATAGTTCCTTAACTACTATTAATTAGGCACACATACATATATACATTTTACATCAGATTCCACATGATATTCCCTTTATTATATTCAAATCATATATTTATTCCAAAAAACAGTTGCATACTAACTTTATCTTCCCATTTTAGTAAAGACCATTCTCATAATTACAGAGGAACAAGAGTTGGAAGGGAACTTCTAATCCAGTGGCTGCCAACCGCGAGAAAATTTTTGTGGTCTGCAAAGAATTAATCCAGGCTGCGTGGGAACACAAGGCTGCGCCGCCCACATGGCTGGCGGGAACCCTCCCCACCCAATCACTCCTGACCTGGCAAACTTGCCTGCTAAGTTGCTATCTTTCTTCCACCACCACCCCCAACTATCAGCTGTTCTGCTGTGCCAGGAGATTTAGATTCGGTAGAAAGCAGGAAACCATTGGATTTCTTGCTTTCTAGCTAATCTAAAAGCAGAGCTGAGCCTGAAGCTTCCATTATTCAGTGCAGACTCAGGTAGCCGATGTCAGAAATACAGATCTCTGAGTGAATCTGCGATTCTGTGAGCAACTCAATCTGCCTTCCTGCTTTGCCTGATTTTGGGTAAAAGTTGCTCTTTTTTTAAATAAAAAAAATTCAATATTGACATAAATATTTATAATATTTACATACAAGCCATGCCCAGCCAGTCACATGACCAGCAAGCCACGCCCACAAATTAGGCCACACCCACAGAACCCGTTGTTATGAAATTTGAATCCCACCCCTCCCTCTGTGTGTTTGTGTGTGGCGGGGAGAGGGAGAGGTTAGATCAGATCTCTCTCTCTTTCTCTTTCTCTTTTTCTATCCCTTCCTCCCACCAACGTCAGCAAGCCAATGCCAGTCAAAATTCAGATTAGTAGCCTCCGGGATTTAAAATTATGAGTTTGGTGGTCCCTGGGGTCCAAAAGGTTGGCGACCCCTGATCTAGTCCAACCCCCTTCTAATCAAGGAGCGAAGGACATTCTATATTCTGTCTGGGTTACCGTGGGATGACCGTTTCCACATACCAGGGGTTCCAGATGGCTTGATTTGCTCTTCCATGGTCTCTGACAACATTTGGGACCTTCAGCAAAATCACATACCTCCCATTTCTTCCCCCTGAAATTTTATGCAGCTTTATTCTGTGGAGACTCCAAGACAGCAAATCTAATAACCAAGGAAAGGAAAAGATCTGGAAACGACTCCCTTCAAATAGCACCTGATTGAAGTTAGCTTGTACAGGAAGTCCTCGAATTACAACAGTTTTAGTGACAGTTCAAAATTGCGACAGCACTGAAAACACTGACTTACGACCATTGTTCACACTTATGACCATTGCAGCCTTCCCCAGGGTCAAAATTAAGATGCTTGGAAACTGACTCGTATATTTATGACAGTTGCAGTGTCACATGGTCCTCCTCTTGCGACCTTTTAACAAGCAAAGAAGCTAGAATTGTGTTTGCACAACAGTGGAAAAGGGAAGAGATCCCCACAGATGAAAATGTGATTTAAAAAAATATGAGGATGTGCAGAAATGGATAGACTAACACTTACAATTAAGCAAAAGGAAGAAACTGTATACTTTTGGACATGGGACTAATGATACAAGGGAGGTTTGTTAAAATGAATAAGCTATATTATTATTATTATTATTATTATTATTATTATTATTATTATTATAGAACTAATACTAATGTATTGAACATTGTTGTAAATACTTCGATTATTATTTCCTAGAAATATTTGTACCCACAGAACACACTGTTTAACTAAAAGATGGAATTTTTATAAGTTATAAAATAAAATAGAAATTATAAAAAAACAAACAAGCAAACGGGAAGCCGGATTCACTTAACAACGGGGGCAAGAGAGGTCATAAATTCGCTTGACACCTGTCTTGCTTAGCAACAGAAATGTTGGCCTCATTTGAGGTCATATGTTGAGGACCGGCTGAGGTTAAAATAGTTGTATTTGGGCGCACTAAATCCAAGCTTTTATTATTAGGTCTCATCCTGGGCACCCTTTTTTTTGAACTATTACCACCTGGCAGACGGAACAGGATAATAATAAAAACAAGGACAAACAGGCTGAAAAACAGCTTCTATCCCAGGGCAGGAACTCTACTGAATTCCACTGTATAGTGTAATATTCATGCAATATCAGGAGTTTTCCATTCAATGTGTGGAGGGTGAAGGAGGTGTGTTTGTGTTTTATTTTCGTGGTCATGATGTGCACTGAAGACGGTGCTTGATTTCGTTGTACGCGGTGCAGTTGCAAGAAAGCAAACTAAAAATTAGATCTATAAAAGGGCCGAATATCAGGGGGCACGTAGAGGGATTTATATCGGTGTTTTATCATTCCATTTTCTTCTCTCTAGGTTTTCCTCTCAGCATCGCTTCTGGGCGCCCAGCGAGGTGGAAGAAGAAGTAGAAAACAAGGAACTTTCGGGGATGCTCAAAAGCCGCTATATCACCTACGCTGGCACCTTTGAACCCGTGAAGCACAAGTGCCGAGCCCCGATGCCCAGCGGAGGCCTTTGTGAGAGGCAGGATAGATTTAAGGTGGGTGCGAAGGTCGTGTCGGACCCTGTGCAGAAGGTCTCAGCCAACCTTTCTTCAAGGGTGTTAAGAGATCCTGTCCCTATTTCCTCCCCAAGTGCCCTTTCCATGGAAAAATCGTTCCTCGGGACGAATCGGGAAACCCCGTGAACCAAGAGGACCGAGAGAGAGAAGCGAGGAGGCAGTTCGAAAGGAAAGAACAGCAGCCAGGTTGGTGGAGGGGATTCCGTCTCTCGCGGGAATTTACATTAATTTCCGCTTACAGGACGGTGGAACGCCGCAAACTGCTTTGATGGGAGTCTAGCAAATCCGGACACGGGCAGTTCTCGACTTACGACCACAAGTGAGCTCAACATTTCCATTTCTAAGCAAGGCACGGGCTGGGCCCCATTTTACGACCTCCCTTGCTGCCGTTGTTAAGGGATTCCCTGCAGTTGTGAAGTTAGGTGGACCTGGCTTCCCCCATGGATTTGGCTTGTCCGAAGGTCGCAAAATATGACCCCGGGACATTACGACTGTCGTCAATACGCGTCAGTTGCCAAGTGCCTGAATCTTGATCACGTGACCAAGGGGATGATGCAATGGTTGTAAGTCAACGTCTTTCAGGACCTTCATAACTTTGATGTCAACTCGTAAAGCATCCCTGGCTTGCTCTCGAGTTGCCATAAGGAGGAGGGAGCAGGAGGAAGATCTGATGGAGCACTTCGGTTGCTATGACCAGAAGCGCATTCCACGCATGCCTTTCTCCAGACTGTGTCCCAGGTTACCAGAGCCAGCCGGAGAGTCATGTTTTGTACAGCCCGGGAAAGTGTTTAGTTGGAGAATGTGATTTATGACATGCCCTGGGAGGAGGGAGGAAACAGGGTCGTAGCTGGGCAGTAAATTACATAGGGCAGAGTCGACTGCACCTGGGAAAAGTGCCGACATGTTGCTCCTATAAATAATCAGATTTCTTTTGAAACTTGTCTCGAGGCTCATGAATAAATTAGGGCATCCGTTGGAACCCTGACATTTGAATGATCACTAAATGGACTGCTGTAAGTCAAAGACTACCTGGGCTTTCTTTCTTACACCTGCACAAACTAAAGCACCTTGTCATAGATGGAAATTTGAAGAAGTTTCCAATATGAGAAATATTGTCCCTCGCTGAGTTTGCTTCCTTGAAGGAATTCCAGCGATTAATAAATTACATTTTAGATTAGATTGCTTTTGGTGTACAAGTAGTCCTCCTGTTCTGACCCAAGCCTTGTTCAAATCAAACAAACACAAAGCCTGTATAAAAGCAAACCTCTTTTACTGTGGCGCTGTGAATTCTATGCATTCACAGCCAACAGTCATTCCAAACTAATTGTCCCAGATAAGAGCCAGCTCTTTCAAGGTTGCAAAAGGCTGCCAAGAACGAAAGACTAATTGCAGATAAATATCCCATGCCAGAAGTTTCAAAAAACAAACCGGAGTAAGTAGGACTTCAACGAGAACTCTTGAATAGAAAGAACTTATTTGCTTCCTGCAAAGAAGCCAACCCCAAAGGCTAGCTTTTATCTCATATGGGAGGGGCCACCACCTTCCAGCCTTACTCCTGTCCTGACCCAGACCTGGTTCCAAGGAAACAAACACAAAACGGAGATAACAGTAAAACCTGTTAATGATTCTTTATAAATTCCATTCCTTCCGGGTTGAAAGGCTGTTTCAAACTGATTGTCTCTGATAAGAGCGAGTCTTGCCAAGGTGGTGCAAGGCTGCCAAGAACACTAGATAAAGTCATTCAGAAATAGTTCAAACACAAAGAGTCTCCAAACACTAACCAAGAGAATCCGAACTTCCACAAGGCTTGAGTGCAAAAACGTCTTTGCTTCCTGCAAAGAATCCCGGTCTCTCAGGCTGGCTTTTATCCCTTATGGGAGGAGCCATCACATTGCAGCCTTACTCCCGAGTCGCCCGTGCTGGTGCAGCTGCTCTTTCCTTCAAGCAACCCTGTGTGCATGTGCACTTGGCACAGGCTCCTCGGGGTGCTCTTCCTCATTGCTACCAGCCTCCACAATCTCCGAAGGCAGCACTCCACTCCCTGATGGTCCTGGCCCCATCCCTGCACCCCACGCAGGTCCCTCACCTGAGTCCTCGCTCTCTGAGACCTCAGCCATCCACACCTGCTGCCGGTGAACCACAACACCTTAATTTGCATCAGTTTTGTTTAGTGACTGTTTGAAGTTACAATGGCACTTGTCAAAGGGACTTATGACCATTTTTCACACTTAACGACCGCTGCAGCATCCCCATGGTCACATGATCAAACTCAGCCACTTGGCAACTGGCTCGTATTTATGATGGTCACAATGTCCCAAAGTGACAGGATTCCCCCCCCCTTTTGCGACCTGATAACGCAAAGTCCAATGGGGAAGCTGGATTCGCTTAACAATCCTGTCGCTAACTGAACCACTGAAGCAATTCACTAAACAGTGAATGGGGGCGGGGGCAAAACTCACTTGAGACATGTTTCGCTTGGCAGCATAAATTTTGGCTGTGATTGTGGTTGTATATCTTGGACTGCTGTGCTTTCTGGATCATTTTCTAGCTATCAAATGAATAATGGTTGCTTCTCAATTAATCATAGAGAACAGGGGTCTCCGGGCTTGGGAACTTTAAGCCTGGCGGACGTCAACTCCCAGGATTCTGGGAGTCTGCCAGGCTTAAAGTTGCTTTCATGCCCCTGTCAGAGTCTGACTCCAAGGAGGAAGACGAACAGCTGACAGGGAGTGGGAGTGTGGCTCCAGTTGGCTGTGGAGGGAACTGGGAAAGGGCAAAGTCCGGCTGGGCAGAGCAGGGGGGAGGTAGAACAAGGGAGAGGGAATTCGGAGGAAGACCCAGGCCCACCATCCCCTCTTCATCCTAGGGCACGCAGGGGAGGAACGGAGAAGGGAGCAACATGAGTTGCGTGGCTTACAGGGGAGGAAAGGGCCCTGATTCCCTTCATTAGCCACACCTGGGAAGGAGAGTTTAAGAGAGATGCATGCTGCATGCGGCAGCTGCTGGGAACAAACGTGAGTTGATCTTGTGTTGACTTTGATTATCTGTGTTCCTGGCGTCCTTCCAACTGTGTTGAATTATAGCCCTGCCTTCATGTCTGGAATTCTTTCTCTTGCCCTGCAGGATCAGTGAGCTCATTTTACCTTAATTGGACTTGTAGTTACAGTTTTTGTTGACCACATTTTGGACTTGATTCTCTGCAGCCAAAGGCTGTTTACCTGGGAGAGCTTTTCTCCAGCCCAGAAGGTAACCAGGACATTGGGGGCAAAGTTGGAGCTAATAAAGGGACTCCTACGGATGATCTGACTGTGTTACCTTTGTGCCACGCCCCTTTGGGTCATCACAATTGCCAAGGTTGGAGACCTCTGATATAGATGGTTTTTTTTTTTTTCAATTGGAAAGCTTAGACTTCCAGCCAGCAGTGGGGTCCTACCTGTTCCACTAGCAGTTTGGTGGTCGTGCATGCGCGAGTACCTATTTTGGGCACACAGCTTTCCCCGCACCAGTTGAGGTTCTGCTGCACCAATCAGCTGAGAGGATGAAGAAGAGAAAAGTGCGGGAGCAGGTGGAAGGGTCAATTCTGCGTTTTTCTCTTCTTCCTCCTCTCCGCCGATCGTCGGAAGCTTTTTTCCTTTACTACCAGTTCAATCAAACTGGTCTGAATCAGTAGCACATACCACCGGTGGTCTCAGCCCTCTACCCAACGGGGAAGCAGAGCCGGGTCCCCCTGTTAAATGTTGCTTTTATGTCCGGGCATCCCCTGCTGTTGGTGTGTCATAACGCCATTTCTCGACACAATTCGAACCCTCTTCCTTCCTGCCCTCCCCCCCAGAGGCTGCCAAGCAGAGCCCCCCAGGGGTCTTTTGCAAAGGCGAATCCTGAGAGATGATGAAGTCTTTTTCTTTGGGATAGTAAACTGGCACAACTGGGGAATCCTGAATCTGAAAATTCCAGGCTTCCTTGCAAGAAGTAAAACCTACAAATCCATCCTGTGATGACCCAAAGGGGCATGGCACAAAGGCAACATAGTCACATAAGTAAGAAGTGTCCCTTTAGTACCTCCAACTTTGCCCCCTAATGTCCAGGTTACCTTCGGCTGGAGAAAAACTCTCTCGGGAACAGCCTTTAAGTAGAGGAAATTCAGTCTGAAAACAAAGTACGTACAAACTATTAATAAAAATCCGCACAAACCATGCTATAACAATTAACTTGACAGGGGCAGGAGAAGGAATTGCAGACTTGAAAGGCCAGCAAAACACACACCGTTGGGAAGATGCCAGAAACCCAGATAAGCCTCGACAATACCAGATAATTCATTATTTGCTTCCAACAAGTTGTTGTGCGCAGCTTCCCTTTTAAAACACTGTGTTCCCAGCGGCAACTAACGAAGGGAATCAGGGCCCTTTCCTTCCCCATAAGCCAGGCAACCCATGTTGCTCCTTTCTCCGTTCCTCCCTGCATCTCCTAGAATGAAGAGTGGGTGGCCCTGAGTCTTCCTCCGAACTCCTTCTCCCTTGTTCTCCCTCTCCCCTGCTCTGCCCAGCTGGACTTTGCCCTTCTCCAGTTTCTTCCACAGCCAACGGAGCCAGACTCCCACTTCCTGTCAGCTGCTCGGCCTCCCCCTCCAAATCAGATTCCGACAGGGGCACGACACATCCCCTGCACCCATCATGACATCACATGCCCCAATCACCAACCGTCCCAACTTAAGATTTCCCCTCACTTATGTGCAAAATAACATGACCTTGACTTAGAAAAAGAATGTTATTATGTCTGTCTACGTACATACATTCCAAGAAACTCAGATTAAAAAGAAAAACGAAAACTAGGTGGGAGTTTAAGAACAAGGGCCTGACTATTAGCCTTGTGAGCTCTAAAGGAATTCAAAGAAAAAGTCTGAAAAAGTCTCACTTTAACAGGCTCAAACTGTGGCAGCGTGGGAGCATCTGGTCTCAATATGGCTTCCAAAACTGACACATTCATCCTTTCGCAATCGTTCACACAGGAGAGCAAATTAAGGGGCCTCTTTTTGTGTGTGTGTGTGTCAGCCCCGGAGAGAAGATCTGGGTTTTCCCCGCCATCTCAACCCTTTAGCGACTTGTTAACAAACCGGTATGGGGACGAGGCAGCCGCTGGCCAGCCAGATGTGACATACTATCTCTTTTACTAACTACCAAGTATCGATTTCTCCGGACCCCTCGTGAAAGCAAAGCGAGCAAGCGCTATAATTTTCTCTTTTTCCCGGCTGCTAAACCCCGTCACAATGCCCGGAGAGCTTCGAGGACTCCCCTTCTTCCATCAGGGTGGCCGAAAAAAAAGAAAAGGGGAAAAAAAGAGAGGCCCTTTTTCCTGGCACCCGATCGATTTTTTTCTCCCTCCGAGGGCTTTTAAATTGCGCCTTCATTTTCCTCCGGTGTTCATTTCATCTTCAGTGAACACACACTGGCGGTTTGTCCTCTCCCCCCCCCCGCGCATTGTGTTTAAACAATTGCACCGTTCAGCCGGGTCCCCGCAGCGCCGGCCCTCTTATTTACCGGGAGATAAAACAGTTTAGACAGTTTTTTGTTAATCTGGGATTAATTGTTCCTGCGTCTGGGTTTCTTGGCTGCAATACAAAAAAAAGAAAAGAAAGCTTTGTGACCCATTGTGGCTGTGTGTGTGTTTGTGAGTGAGAAAGAATTTGTGATATATTTTTTTCCCCTTTCAGACTTTTTCTTTGAGTTCCTTTAGAGCTCACAAAGCTAATAGTCAGGCCCTCATTCTTAAACTCCCAGCTAGTTTTCTTTCTTTTTAATCTGGACTATCTGGAACCCTCCACCCCACCCCCCAGTCTTTAAAAGAGTAAAAGTTTCCCCCCCCTTTGTAAAATTCATAACTATAGTATTATTTATAATACTGAAATGACCCCTCC